TCCACAGATAAGTAGAAGCCGCAGACACAGGTCCTGGTTCCTGTCCCCGCTCTGTCTGCACCGACATCAAAAGAAGCAAACGCAGGAAGAGGCGCGGACCTTCTCTGGGAGCGCCGCACCTCCTCTGACCAGGAGGACAATGACCACGGCCCCCGCGGGCTCCCGAGGGCCATAAACCAGGATGAGTGTGAGAACCAGGAGGAGGTTAGAGGAGGAGGAGGCAAAGTTAGAGGAGGAGGTTAGAGGAGGAGGTTAGAGGAGGAGGTTAGAGGAGGAGGAGGCAAAGTTAGAGGAGGAGGTTAGAGGAGGAGGTTAGAGGAGGAGGTTAGAGGAGGAGGTTAGAGGAGGAGGTTAGAGGAGGAGGTTACAGGAGGAGGTTAGAGGAGGAGGTTAGAGGAGGAGGTTACAGGAGGAGGTTAGAGGAGGAGGTTAGAGGAGGAGGTTACAGGAGGAGGTTAGAGGAGGAGGTTAGAGGAGGAGGTTAGAGGAGGAGGTTACAGGAGGAGGTTAGAGGAGGAGGTTAGAGGAGGAGGTTAGAGGAGGCAAGGTTAGAGGAGGAGGTTAGAGGAGGAGGATAGAGGAGGAGGTTAGAGGAGGCAAGGTTAGAGGAGGTTAGAGGAGGAGGTTAGAGGAGGAGGTTACAGGAGGAGGTTAGAGGAGGAGGTTAGAGGAGGAGGTTAGAGGAGGAGGTTACAGGAGGAGGTTAGAGGAGGAGGTTAGAGGAGGAGGTTAGAGGAGGCAAGGTTAGAGGAGGAGGTTAGAGGAGGAGGATAGAGGAGGAGGTTAGAGGAGGAGGTTAGAGGAGGTTAGAGGAGGAGGTTAGAGGAGGAGGTTAGAGGAGGTTAGAGGAGGAGGTTAGAGGAGGTTAGAGGAGGAGGTTAGAGGAGGAGGTTAGAGGAGGAAGCAGAGTGAGGAGGTTAGAGGAGGAGGTTAGAGGAGGAGGAGGCAAGGTTAGAGGAGGAGGAGGTTAGAGGAGGAGGTTAGAGGAGGAGGTTAGAGGAGGAGGAGGCAAGGTTAGAGGAGGAGGAGGTTAGAGGAGGAGGTTAGAGGAGGAGGTTAGAGGAGGAGGTTAGAGGAGGAGGAGGCAAGGTTAGAGGAGGAGGAGGTTAGAGGAGGAGGTTAGAGGAGGAGGTTAGAGGAGGAGGCAGAGTGAGGAGCCACAGTATCAGTGCAGCAGATCAGGGCGTGATCCGCTATAAGCCCTCACGCTCACACAGACACACACTCACACACACAAATACACTCAGACACACACACACACTCACACAAATACACTCAGACACACACTCACACAAATACACTCAGACACACACATACATATGCAACACACACACACAGACACACACATACATATGCAACACACACACACAGACACACACACACACACACACACTCACACAAACACACTCAGACACACACACTCACACAAATACACACACAGACACACACACACATATAAAACAAACACACACACTCCTCACACAAACAAACACACACACACACACACACATTTCCAAAAATAAGTGTGTATCCCAGGGGCCTCCCACCTGTGGCTCAGGAGCTACCAGTAGCTCGCCTCCTTCTCTCATGTAGCTCCTAAAGGATTCAGGGATGTCACACATGGTCCTGAATGACTCACTTCCATATTTGAACTATAAATGTGTTCATGAATGATGTCACATGTTCTCTGTGATTGGCTGAAGTTCTTACAGACCACAGTTTTGTAAGGCATGTGTGATGTTGGCCAAAAGAAAGACCTTCCAGACCAGATCAGAATAATGTGGCACTTTTGTGAACCCAAACTACAATTATGTGAAAACTCAGCCTCACAGACGGGATCTTTACGCAGCAGAGCAACCGGGAAGTTTATCTGTTTCTTTCACTTTTTTCAGACAGAACAAAGTCAGGAAATGCTTGATCGAAAGACATATGGAAAGACTTTTACACAATCAGAGCAGACACACAATCAGAGTCGATGTCACCTACACAAGGCCACTACTTCTGACATTTGGACATTTTCTCTTTCCATATTTGCTTGAATAGTTAATTTTCCGGCACCTGCTCATGACAAGATCAGATTAACGGCTTTTTAACCTCGTTTGCTCGGTCTGTACAGCCAAATATCCGACTTTCGATCACGGTCTGATATTTCTCCGTACAGACCGAGCAAGCGAGGTTAATAAATGTTTTATTATATGACTATTTTTAATTTGTGCAAATATCGATGGGTTTGAACTAAAAACACATTTGACCAAAGTGTCAAACTGTGACATGAAGAACTGATCAGAGGATTGAGGCGCCCGCTGTCAGTTCTCAGTCTGTGTCTTTACCAATGCTTTTTACATATTTGTGATGGTCATGTCCCACTTGGTTTTCCTGGTCCTGGTTTTACCTTTCTGGTCTGTAACCAAGTTGTCGATCTCTTCTTGACTGTTGGAGTTGCGTTTTCGTCGTTATTTGCTGTTATTACTTCCTCTGGCTCTTCCAACTCATCCTGATCATAGAATTCACTGGAGAACAGAGGAAAGACATCAAATCTGATACGCACTGTTTGGACCAGTTGTCATGGTAACGGTCCGAGATGGGAAAATATCAGACCGCAAATCAGCCAATCAGAGCGCAGAACGATCCAAGTCATATAATAAATACCTTTATTGGTCTCGCAGTGGAGAAATGTCAGTGTCATCGTTGCACATTACAGCAGAGAAAGAAGGAAGTAGGGGCACTCAGACGCACACATCAAATAGTCTGTTATTTAAGATAATCGACTATATAATTAGGATACAATAAAATAAACTCTGGGCTAAAATTGCACTTGGTTCAGAAGCATTTACAGATGTGTGTATTGTACTTTAGCAGGGGAGACTATGAGCAGAGTGAAGATCAGAATAATATCAACAGGTAAAGTGAAGGATGAAAACTACCATAACATAATAAGTGCACATAACACATAATACAACACAACTGTTTTAATGTAATTCCAAAGCCTGTGTACAACATGTCATTTCTCATTAAATCTACCATGAACACGCAGTATAGCAGCAGCAGCAGTATCTGTTGTTATCTGCTGCAATGCCTACGCCGCCCATCCCCCTCCCCTGGCTCCGATCTGAACTGGTTCTCTCCGGTCTGCGCACAGTCACCGCGCCACAATGCCTTTGGAAGCGCCCTGCTCTGTGCCTGCATGTCATCGACCCACGCACCAACGTCAAACGGAGCAAATTCCTGTTAAAAAACCCTGTTGTTTTAGTAAAGGCCAAAAGTCTCCTGAGTCAGCAGGTGTCAGCGCGGACCAGTGCCGGCTGCAGAGACACAGGAAGAGTCATTATCGGTCATACTTTTAGTTCAACAAGACTTTCTGATGGTGTAATGGAGATAATGTTTACTGCAGGGTTAATCAAACAGGGGTGTCCTAGATGGCTGTAAATGTCTCCAGTGTGAGAGCGATAAAATCTATATCTTATCTTATGGTTTGAAATGACATTAATCCTGTTTAGTTTCAATACTGAGAAGTGAGTTTAGGCTTTGCTCGGTGGATCTAATGCAGTTAAGGCCAATTCAGACCTCTTTGTTCTGACATTTCTCTCGCACACACTGCCACACATGGTATAAAAGCCTGTGTTTTCTTCTGCTCTGTCCGCAAAAAGCTTGGAAATAACCTGAGGGTGCAAGTTTGTGAGATCACTGATACCACGACGTAAACAGGCTCCAACGCTTTGTCTGTGTCTTATGGAAGTCAGTCCCACTTTTAATATATTTGTGAAGGTTCTAAAGGGGTTTCAGCCGTAGCCGTTCAAAGAAAACTCTACGGTAAAGAAGCAATTGGTAGAAAATGTCTATATGTTGGTTCACATTATCATTCTGAATGTTTGAGAGTCCATGCAATTATAAACAAAGGGAAACACCGAATCCACAGCAAGGTTGCGTCTGAAATCTCTCCTTTCTCGTCCCTTTTTGAGCATGGAATTGTACTCGAGTAGCTTTCAAAAGGTCTGAAAGTGTCTTTAGCTACTTTCTTTAATAACAATGCAGTATCTTCTTCTCTGACATAGTTTAAATCCAGGTTAAAAACAGTTTAGATGTGCCACAACTGAAGGATTATTATATTTTCAGTCTGTTTGTGTGATTGTGTCCATCTTTTCTGTTACGCCTTTTGAGTTGCCTTGTGTTTTAAACTAATAAACCTGCTTTGTTTATGGATTTGGATGCTCCCAGTGTTCACCAGAATGATGCTGAGTCGTTGTTTACGGCCTGTGCAGCTCTGAGGGGACCCCCGTCTCTTATCTGTGCTCACATTCACACCATTCATCTTGTTTTGGAAAACTCCCGTCAGCTGACCCGCTTCAACCCCCACATTTATGCTTTTGACATCCTGACCTGCGCTTTAGGACGTGTTTAGGACTCAAAATGTAGACTTGGCTTTTTCATTGTATCTGTGGTTATACTTGTGTTGGTGTGAAGTGCTTTGAACATATCTGTGGTGCGAGGCAATAAGAGGAAAAGGGCATATTTCTTGAACACATTTGAATAATTTATTGTAGAAAAACACATTAGGAAAGCAGAAATGCAAAAAAAACCATTGTGCTTGTATGACAACAACAATATGCACTTATGTGGTCTCTTTTCCTCATCTCTTCCCACGACAGAGAAGGCATATGTGGAAGAATCACCAACAAAATCGTACAAAAAGAGTCTTAAGCGTCGGCGCCGCTCGGGAATGAATTGTCCGTGCATATTCCCAGAGACATGAAAGTATCGATGTCTACGTCACGTGCATCCACCGTTTGGCGATTCAAGTCTGAAGGCAATCTCTTTATCCCCTCGGAGTTCTGCAGACCGACTACGGCCGACCGCCTCTCGACCTCGGGCTCACAGAGGTCCTGGACGCACAGGGAGAGGTCTTGGACGCTCCCTTCCATCTTGCGCTCGGGCCAATCCGCGCTTTGCAGGCGAAATCTGTCAAAAATCCAACTCTTGCTAGAGCTGTTTTGGCACACGGTTCACCGCAGCTTCAGCAGATGCCGCACCATCCCTGCGATCTGAAGAAACTTGTCCTTTTTGCGCTGCTTGAGAGCCATGAGTGCGCGCGACCGGTCCTCGGGCTCGTGCGTGTAGGAGAAGATGCTCCGGACGCGCTCCTCCGCCTTCATATCGCCCGTTTTCTGGAACAGGCGCATCACGGCTTCTTGGTTGACGTTCTCGAAGATGTTCGCCACGGCTTTCTTGCGGTGCGCCGTGTCGAAACGGTTGCCCACATGCGCCGAGGGGGTGACGCGCCTGGACTCGTAGTTGTACGTAGACATGATGGAGGAGGTGGAGCAGGTGGAGGAGGAGGGTCCGTGGTGGAGGCTCCGTTGGCTGTGGCAGAGAAGGAGTGAAGAGAAGAGGCAGAGTCCCAGGCTTTTTATAGCAGCCTCTTAAGCAGACGTCATGGCAGCAGTAAGCCCCGCCCCCTCCAGCCGCATCCTCCAATCAGGAAGCCCCCTCCGCTCTGTAGTGTGCAGGCCTGTACAGTGCTGTCATCTGTTTTGCACAAGAGACAAAGGGCACGGGGAGAGCTTTGTTCGCGTTTACAGTTTCTGCAGAACTCATTTATGAGAAGCATTTAAACAGATGATTTTCCAGAGAAGAAGTCAAAGAAGGGTCTTGTTCTGCGTCGGAGACATCTTTCTGAAATTTTTAACGCACTGCTCGATGTTCACAGAAATAATGATAACAATAAATAACTAAACATTCGCAGGAGTTTAATGCAAAATGCTAAAACTGCTCAATTTTAAATTTATGCACATTCTGACTGAGCCTTAAAACAACATTGGCCAAAGGGAGAAAGCAAAATGATCTTATTTTAAACAGTTAGAAGAAATATCTCGCTTGGAATGACTGAACGAGACTAAATGGAAAATCTTGTTTAAGACCAAATGTCAGAATGAACTCAAATTAAGAGAAAAATAATCGATTCAAGATTTTATGACTTAATGTTGGATCAGTTTTTGCATTTAAACAGGACTTTTTATGAGTGTCATTTATGATTAAGATAAATATCCGATGTTTTAATAACTGTCTGACTGTAAATTTAATTGAATCATGTGAAATCCTGTATAATAAACAAAAGAAGTGAGAAGGGAGACAGTGACTCCGTGTATTCCTCGACCACCAAATACTAATAGTTCAATATAAACTCCTAGAAACAGTTTTTTTGATCAAGTTTCTGACCAATAACTTGCAATGTCCAGTGTTTTATCGAATAACTAAAATCCTGGTTATTTTAGACATGCTGGTGTTTTGTATTGATGTTTGTGGTCAAATTATAGATATTTACAGCTGCGGTTCGTCACTTTTAAAACACAAAAACCTGAAAAGTAAAATCCATGTTTAGTTCTGTCAAGATAATGTCACGTTCTCACTCTCTCAGCCAATCAGCTCGCAGCCTGAAGCACCAATCGTGACTCAGAAAAATATGCAAAAGATAAAAGGTGTTTCTAATCAGCAGCATGTTGTTGTTTTACTCTGTTTCTTCTGGACAAAAGAAGTTATGATCTGTCATCTAAGTAAGGGATAGAAGCGGACCCCGACGCTCTTCGCCCTGAAGGTACTTATTTTCCGATAATGACCTGCCTAATCCCTAACCCTAACATTATCTGCTTATTATACGGCTTTGTACCAACAGAACACACAACATAAACTTCAGTCCACTCTTAGGAATGCCGAAAGGTTCATTTAATGACAGAATATAAAATAGTTCCCAAAGGCTTTCCCGTGGCTATGCTAGCAACAGTTAGGCTAGCAACTTCCAAACTAGAACTCTCTGGAACTGCATGAAAACTGAACAAAGAATTCTGAACATCAGCGGTGAGTGACCCAAACATAAACTTAACCTAAATCCATAATTCCATCCTCTGCAAATGTTCCTAAAATGTGCCGGTATCTACTTCCGGGTTTTTCGGGATCGCCTTTTCTCGCATTACATCAGTGTTTTTGTCATGAAAACGTAAACGGAAAATTCTGAAAACTTCCGTGCACTTGTATTAAGAATGTATTTGTATAATGTATTCTCCAATTAACATTTCATTGCGTTGATTGAGCGTGAAAAGCTCCGGAGTGACTGGAACTACTTCTGGGTTTTTCAGGATCGCATTTTGACGCAGAAAAATAGTATTTTTGTCATGAAGACAAGACCAGAAAATTCTGAAAACTTCCGTGCACGTGTGTGAAGAATGTATATATATAAGTATTCTCCGATTAACATTTAAGTGTGTTGATTGAGCGTGGCTAGCTCCGGAGTGGCAGGAACTACTTGCGGAGTTATCCACGCATTTGAAAGACAAGCAGAGAGTGCGTTGCCAAAGGGCAGCGGTCATTATTGTTTTGAGAGGTCCGTTATCAAGAAATAATGACCGGTAGAACGTTTTGAAATGACATTGAGATCAATGGAGCGTTCTCCTGCTGCTGTGAGGAGCCGTGATACATGGTAGTAAACAATGTCACTCATTGATCATTAATCACCAGTGTGTGTTTTCCCGTCGTTTATTCTGCCTTAATAACTGCTGAGTCAGAGGAGCCTCCCTGGGGTTGTGTTGGCTGAAGATTCTTCTCTGTAACAACAGCGTGGAACTTAAAAACCGGTCAATTCTTTTTGAGATAAATGTTTGGTGCATGTAGGATTTTTTATGGACTCCAAACCAGTAGAAGCAATGGGAGCGGTCGGTTCTCTGCGGAAGTGGAAATACAGTGTGGATCTTTGAAGCCTGGTCCAAAACACCGCTGTAGAGCCCGGCCCAATCCATTTATATTTGTCTGACCCTAAATCACAATCGAGGTTATCTCTGAGGACATTAAAAAACTGACTAATTCGCCAACATAGATCAGAGAATCAAACCGAGGCAGAGACTGAGGCTGTAGATCCAGGACTGAGGCTGTAGACCCAGGACTGAGGCTGTAGACCCAGGACTGTGATTCCTGGTTTCTCTGGACAGTAGCAGCTTCACAATTGCTAAAAAGTCTGCCTTCTGTGGATGTTTTCTGACACTTCTGATGTAACTACGGTTAATCCTTCGCTGGTCATTCCCAAACTCTGCAGAAGTCAAAGATTTTCCACCTGATGTTTTGGTCTGAAGGTCGAACATCTACTGGCGCCGTGGCAGATGCTAACAGGAGCGTCCTCCATTCTTCAAGTTTAAAATCATATGCGTCAAAACTATGGTTGTGTACTTTTACCAACAAAAACATTTCTTCTGCTGTGAGAACAAAAAAGAACACAAAAAAGGCAAAAATCCTTCTGTACTTAGTTTAAACCATAGCAGCTTCAAAAGTGCCATAAAATATCCTTTAATGTAGCAGTATGTAAGATTTTCATGTCCAGTCATTGTTAAAGGGCCCTAATCTGTCATCATTAAAGGGCCCTAATCTGTCATCATTAAAGGGCCCTAATCTGTCATCATTAAAGGGCCCTAATCTGTCATCATTAAAGGGCCCTAATCTGTCATCATTAAAGGGCCCTAATCTGTCATAATTAAAGGGCCCTAATCTGTCATCGTTAAAGGGTCCTAATCTGTCATCATTAAAGGGCCCTAATCTGTCATCATTAAAGGGCCCTAATCGGTCATCATTAAAGGGCCCTAATCTGTCATCATTAAAGGGCCCTAATCTGTCATCATTAAAGGGCCCTAATCCGTCATAATAATAAACTGTTCTTTTCCAATCCTTCTTTAACTGATAACAATAGTTCAGAGAGATTTGAATTTCTAAATTACTTTTCCAGCCTCTAAATCTTGTTATTGTTTTCATATCTATGTCACGCCCTCCACTGTTTCACCAATCAGAAAGTCTGTGATCCGAGCGCCAGAACTCACCGTGTGGAGCTAATCTCACTGGTAAAGTACCATGTGGCGCAGAACTAAAAAAGGCCTCGTTATGATTCTCAAATCAATAACAACAAAACAAGGAATAAAACCAGGATTTCTTTCTTTGTGAAAAAGGTGTTGGTTATAGATTTGTTGTTGACAAAACTCTTGTCTATTCAGCTGTTATGGTCCCAGCTGGATTCGTCTGCATATCTGGCAACCTGAGTCAGGGAGAGTGGGAGAGGCTGCAGTACCACTTTTGGCCACACGTTTACATACTGCTCCATTAAAGTCTGTCCCCTGTCTCTGTGTAAATGCTTCCATAATCGAAAAAAGAGTTGAAAATATATCCTGAACTAAAATATGTTCGTTCTGTATCAAAATGCATTAATTCTTTTGCGTTTCAACCATTTTCTTCTTCACTTTTCAACCTTTCACTCTTTTCCAACAGCACTGACAACACTTCCAAACACACTCTGTAAATATTAGTCTCCAGAATCCTGTGGTTTCTGATAACACTTAGAAACTTTTATATCAACACATTAAGGATCCCTCTCCAGCTCTGTCCATCCAGGCCTTATAAGGACTACCAGGAAGTCAGGGCCTACCAGGAAGTCAGGGCCTACCAGGAAGTCAGGGCCAATGAAGTGTCTGCATGGAATCCCCGGCATGTGGCGTCGGCGTTGGGCTGACGGAGGACAATGCTGGGGTTCGGTGTGAATAACACGACCAACAATACCACTGACACCAGGACGAGTGTGGCGCAGGAAACTGGTGTCGCAGAAACTGTTGAAAGACCTGGACAACAAAGAAGCAACAACAGATTCCAGAGACGTTTTTGCTTCTCTGTAAAAACAAAAATATGGAATCCTGGTTGCTCGGCCAGCTGGCTCCTCTCCGCCGGTTCTGGGATGTTATCGGTTCATAGAGGATTGTTTGTATTTTAACACAAACAAGACACAGGTTTTTCTTTTTCTTTGGCTGATGAGAGATTTTTGCAATTAGTTGTTGAATATAGAAAAGTACAATGATAATGTTGATAATCATGATTGAAATTGTCACTGTTATGATTATGATTATTGTTGTTTTTCTATGATTGAGCAACCCGAGCTGGACTTAGAGCCTCAGTCCTGGGTCTACAGCCTCAGTCCTGGGTCTACAACCTCAGTCCTGGGTCTACAGCCTCAATCCTGGATCTACACAGTCTCAGTCCTGGATCTACACAGTCTCAGTCCTGGGTCTACAGCCTCAGTCCTGGGTCTACAGCCTCAGTCCTGGGTCTACAGCCTCAATCCTGGGTCTACAGCCTCAGTCCTGGATCTACACAGTCTCAGTCCTGGATCTACAGCCTCAGTCCTGGATCTACAGCCTCAGTCCTGGGTCTACAGCCTCAGTCCTGGATCTACAGTCTCAGTCCTGGATCTACAGTCTCAGTCCTGGGTCTACAGTCTCAGTCCTGGATT